TGTGCGTGTGAGTGAGCGTGCGTGTGTTTGTGTGTGTGTGCGTGTTTTTGTGTGTGTGCGTGTGAGTGAGCGTGTGTGTGCGCGCGTGCGCGCGTGTGTTTGTGTGCGCGCGTGTGTTTGTGTGTGTGCGTGTGAGTGAGCGTGTGTGTGTGGTGAGTGTGTTTGTGTATGTGTGTGCGTTCGTGCGTGCGAGTGAGTGCGCGCGCGTGTGTGCGCGCGTTCGAGTGAGTGACTGTGTGCGTGCGCGCGTGTGTTTGTGTGTGTGCGCGCGCGTGTGTGGTGAGTGTGTTTGTGTGTGTGTGCGGGCGCGTGTGAGTGTGTGTGTGCGCGTTCGTGCGCGCGTGTGTTTGTGTGTGTGCGCGTTCGTGCGTGTGTGTTAGTGAGTGTGTTTGTGTGCGTGCGTGTTTGTGTGTGTGCGTGTGAGTGAGCGTGTGTGTGCGCGTTTGTGCGTGCGTGCGCGCGTGTGTTTGTGTGCGCGCGTGTGTTTGTGTGTGTGCGTGTGAGTGAGCGTGTGTGTGCGCGTTTGTGCACGCGTGTGTTTGTGTGTGCGCGTTTGTGCATGCGTGTGTTTGTGTGCGCGCGTGTGTTTGTGTGCGCGCGTGTGTGTGTTGGTCTTTGCTCTGAAGTTGTGTTTAATTAGTTGCCTTTAATTTGTTCTAGCAAATGAGCCAGAAATGCATTGCAGTGGTTCTCTGTGTGTTGCTCTGTGCAGCCGGAGGAGCTGACACTGCTGCTGATCAAGCTTCGCCGGCAGCAGGCGGAGCTCAACAGCCTGCGGGAACACACAGTAGCTCAGCTAATGGCCGTTGGTATGGAAGGGCACAACGCAAAGGTCAGCTCTGAGTGTATGTGTTTGTGCATGCACGTATTTGTGCTTTCCCAGCCAAGCAGTCAAAACACACACTGTGTGCATTTGTATGTATCTGCAAGAGGACCGCTATTCATCGTCTGGTTTAGACGTCGTGTCTGCTCGGTTTGGAAAAATCTCGTGTTTTGGTTTAAATCATAGACTGTATGTAAAAGATGTCACCTCCATCATTTGGATTTGGCATCTTGATGGCTCGATGTTATCCTGTAACCACGGCTACGTTGACTTTTGTGACCATATTTTGACAAAAGACGATAGTTCTAAGATTAGCGAGCTGCGTGGATAAACTGTGCTGGTGCTGCACGTAGACACAAACTAGCAAAAAATACTGACTGTCAAATGATTCAAAACTGTTTCACGAGGTCCCTCAAACTTGGTCTTCATGTTCATGGAATTAGACGGCAGTCAGCCGGCTGTATTGACTCACCTCCCTAACCCTCACTCTATGCTTACCTCTTTTTTATTTAAACACAAAGAAACAGTGTCACTGTGGAGTATTGTTGTGGCATTAATGGTGGATGGGTTTGTCCAGTCGCCCAGTCCTAACTGCCTCCGAGTCATCCAGGTGTCTTCCCTCCAGACAAAAGAAAAGAAACCTGAATAGCCAAATTCTATCAGTGCCACCTGTAGCTCCCCCATGGATCGTGGCACTTGTAATTTCTGGGATTATTTTAGTAGAATTGACAGCAGGCTCCGAGGAAAGGTTATTTTTGACTGCCAGGCCAGCCTGTGTGAGCTATTTACAGGAATAAAGAATAATGCTCAGACTGTTACCTTTACTATTTCACAAAAGCTTAAAAGGTCCATTTCCACAATTTAATTGCAGGAAATGTTATCAAAGAAGTTTCACAGGAGATGAAGCAAACAAACAAAATCACAAAACAATCATCAAATCACCTGAATACTTATCTGACTAACTCTGAGCTGAGTTTGTTCTTGTCTTTGGTGAGGAGAGCTTGGAGATCGATGAGCACATCCAGATTGTTTTATTTTATTTCTATTTATATAATGTACATAACTCACCCACTTGTATATACTCATTCACTGTATATAGGCTCTTTTTTTCTCTGCACAGAGGAGCGTATCAGGTCACCTTTCACTGCGTGTTACACCTGTATAACTATGCACGGGACAAATAAAGAATCTTGAATCTCAACTAGGCCCAAAGATGCACTTATCCCCATGATAATCACCCAATAGGAAAGCAGCATTCAGTCGAAGTGTGATGTGGTCAATTCAACCATCTAACATGGCAAAAATGAGCTGATGAAAAGACAAAATCCCAAAGTCGATTAATGAGTTCACAGGTTGGACTTCGGTTCCCCCTCTCGCATCTCTGCGGGGAGTTTAAACGGTGACCTGTTTAGATCCAATGTTCTGAACTGCTCATTGCACAGAAGACTAAAGGAAGAATCTCTTTTACACCCCACATTTACACCTGCTCACCCGTCCTCCACCTTCCTTCACCGGACGTCACATCGTCACATTTTGGTCGTCTAATAAAGTTGTTGACATGTAATCATCCGATGTTCACCCACAACTCATATATCTGACTTACATGGTTTAACACAAAGTCTAAACTTTAAAATCAGTAAAATCATTTCATTTTCTTTGTTATTCTGAACATAAAGAATTCACGTTCAAACATTCAGGAACATAATCCCTTCATAATTCAAATACAGAGGAATACTTTGTTTTACTTTTTAAAACAAAGTATTTAGTATTTAGCTGTGATGGTCACACGACACGTGCATGACGTGCTGCTTTGAGCCCATCAGTATGTATGTTGTATCTGTCTTCTTTTATGTATTGAAGATCAAGAAGTTATTCCACGCTGCGTGTGGAGATGGCGTGACAGATATTCCACCGTCATGTCGTGAATTTAGTTTGTAGGCCTGAACCTACTGCGGTGCCTGAGCTCAAGTGTTTCAAACTATAAAACTGTGAGGGAGGCGAGTGAGGCCCCAGAATGCAGACTGTGATAAACTAAAGAAGAGTCATTAATTCATCAAGTGTGGGTATCCACAGAAGCTAAAACACACACTAGGGCTGTGGGACACTGGAGTGCTGAAGTGACAGCAGGACAGAACTTAACGCAAGCCGAAGGACAAGCAAAATAAGATGGGAAGTGAAGAACACGGACAGAAAGGGAAGCTAGAACTGACACAGACGTGAACACAACACAAGCAGGATCTGACTAAGAAACTAAACCAGAAAACAATGAAAATGCTAAACTCAGTCTACGAGAGCGATAACAGAGGTTTAAGGAAGAACACATGAAACATTAAACACATCAGGAATGAGCGAAACAAACACGAGAAAGCCACAAACATTTGGAGAGCGGACCCAGGAACATGACAAAAATAGATATCAGATTATAATATTAATTTAATGACTTATGTGGACAGTTTGCTGAGCGAGTTTGTGTTTGTTCGGTTTAAATCGAGCTCTGCTTCGTTTTCCCTGCTGCAGTTGGTTTGTGCAAGTGTGAACACAGAAATGGCGCTGGGCTGTGGATCAGAACAACCATACCAAGATGCTTTGGAAGACGCTCTCCTTACGGTCCCAGATGAACTCCAGACTGGTGCATTTATGGTGCGAATGTGAACGAAACACCAAGTGATCCAAATTACACGTTTGAGCGAAAAACGTCCGTAGCCAAATATGCTTCGTATTCTCAGTGCAGGAAAGAACTATAGATCACGGCAAATGAACGTAAATGCTTTGTGTTCTCCTTCTTCCTGTGTTTACTTTTGCTGCTGCCGCCCCAGACACATCTGGCCAATGAGTGGGCTGAACATTCCCATTCCCAAAGACAATAAAATGTGACTTGTACATTTTTACATCAGTCACCTTGTTACTGGGCAGATGAGGTCAAGACCTGTTTTAAATTTAGAGAGTGTGCCTACCAAAGCAAAGCCATAGCCTGATTTAATGTGGCGCTGGATCTTGTTTGAAGTTTGAAAAGGATGGAGTTGGACTGCTGATTCCAACATGTCAGCCGTGGTGAAGAATGAAAAAGCTCTGCGTTGGTATGAAGGGGCACCCAGCTGCCACCTCGCCACAGTCGTTTATGCTCCTAGCACATGCCTCCGGTAGAAAAAATGTCACAACCATGTGAAAGTTAAAGAAAAAGTCCAGAATGCTCCTGACAAACTGCAACTCCAAGTTTTTACAAAAATGCGTGTGATATAGACCTCGGTGATGTTTGTGCCGTGTTTCACCGAATTCTGAGTCACGACCGTCTGCACTGAAGTCCTGCGTGCCTGCTCTATCATGCAGATTCATACAGATTATGTTGAGTGATATTTTTACTGATTACTCATTACCAACTATTATTAAATTCTTACTCTGATCATTGCAACGAAGCCATAATGATATTTAGGGACGATTGTACATAAACTGAGGTTAAGATTCAAATTCTTTGCTGTCATTCTCTCTCTCTTCTGTTTTTGTGAACTCTTCCTCTGTAACTTTGTCTTTTCCTTTCCTGCTTTTGCCTCTGTACTAATGTGTCTACCAAACTTTTCCTATTTCTTCTCTCCTTCCTTCTTGGCTACTGAAGACTGATGTTCTCTTCCATCATCTCCAGAGGAACCTTATATACCTGGAAAGTCAGGTGAGCACTCTGCTCCTCTTGTCTTAAATCAAATAAAACATTTTGTGAGTCATGGGAAGATCCAGTTTTCACTTACTGGAAGAGAACATTTGCTTGTTTCCAGAAAATCTTCTGTAAATGTACACACATTTACAATGATCTATTTTATCCTTTATTTCTTTGCGTGTTTATTCCGAATCTTTCATTCTGAAGCTGAAATTGCATTACAAACTTCCTGCAGCATTTGTAGCACTTTTGCCCAATGCTTTGTTCAGTGGGCTAATTTGTAGATAGCTGTTGGGTTCAGTGACGTTAAGTATGTATGAAGTTTGAAGCTCAACTTGCAAAGACTTGAAACTGGTTGCGAATCATATATGAGTATGAAGTCTATATTATAATGCAGCTACTTGTTTGAATCCGCAGTTTGTGAAGCTATAAACACTATAAACACTACACTATAGGGCTGTCACGATTACGTCGACTATCAAAATCGTCGACGACTGATTTAATAGTCGACGCGTCGTTTGAAGCTTTGTAAGATCACAAAAGACGCAGGAATAAGTAGCAGGATTTAAGAGTGTAATAACGGACTGAAACAGAAGATGGCAGCACTGCATGTACAAGGATGCCAGCTGCCGTTAAACCCCGAAGAAGAAGAAGCTGTGTCCCAGAATTCATAGCGCAGCCCTTGCCACTACCCGATCCGTACCGGAAACCCGATCGGTACCCCGCATGCGCAAATCTTACGTCACTTCCTCTCTTTGCCAACATTGCGACATTCAATATATTTGAATGACACGGTTAGCGCCCAGTTAGCTCCTAGCATTTCTCAACAGCTCTGCCTCCTTTTTGACTGGATAATGGATAATCCGTATCCGCAACAAATTTTTGCATTTCTCCTCAACAGAGAGCGTCCCCCGATTGAACAACAACACCGTCAAATAAGAAGAATGGCGCCTAATGACAGAGTTAATAATACTGACTTTGTAATATGTCACGCGAAGATTCATCAGCCAGATGAAGTGTTTACTGACAATTGACAGTGATAGCACACATCATCATCACTATTCCAACAATCCTCTCCACACAGACAAGCATAAACACACTCGACTATCACTAAATCAAATTTAACACACGTTTGTAATGACGCTAATTCAGTTTATAATAAGGTTTATTCGCTCGGTCAGCAGGTGGCGGTATCCTCGTACACTGGGGAGTAAACTGCCATTAAACGAACAGAAGAAGAAGAAAACCCCTGCACATGCGCGGTACGGATCGGGTAGACCCGATTTGTACGGTCCGACTTTGCAAATGCGCAGTAAGGATCGGAGAGTCCTGATCTGTCACTATCTTTTTACTTTTTTGTTTTTGTCTACATTATATTAAATGTTTCATTATCGGAAACATTTTAAGAGATACTTGTTATTCTTAACATCTTAACAGATACTCTGACCCGTAACTATCGTAAAACGCTTCGACCGGAAGTAGACACCTTTCGCGCATGCGGGGTACCGATCGGGTAGTGACAGTTCTGCTCAGTTTCCACCAATGGCAGCAGCTAGTTAGTTTTAATATTACTCTTATTATTCTTTCTGGGTCACAAAATAAACGTTTAACATATTTTCAGGTGAGAATGTAGCTGTGTAAACCTCAAATATCTGCTCAGTTTATCAAGACACCACATATTTTCAAAAGCGCTCCGACGTTTTCGGAGACGTCTGTTACCCACTAGCTCGATAGTTAGCCGGGGGCTAGGCTCACTAGAGCCGTGAAAACACCGGACTCCCGGCAAATCGTTTTCAAACCCACCGCTGTCTTTCGCTACTCAGGTTAAACATGATATATGAGTCACTTAGATAACTTAAAAATGTTATTGTTTGGCTTTTTTCAGTATTTTATTTGTTCCTGAGTAAATCGGTTTGGCTGAGATTAAAGTTATAGTTCTTACACAGCTGAATAAACTCAAGCAGACAGCTGATTATCAGAAGTGTGAGATGCTCCAGAATTTACTCCGGTGTCCTGTTATATTTTAGATAGCAAGGAGTTTATTAAACTTCACCGAAACAATCTGCAAATTTCATTAAAATTTAATAAACTATCATCTTGTCTTTATTGTTAGTTAGCACAGACCTTAAACACTTAAAGCTGTAAGCTAATGATAGTTATATAAGAGCAGATGCTGCTGGTGCAATAAGCTGTAGTTTTACGTCCAATGGATGATGATCTGATTAGTGACTAATCGCAAAAATAATCGCTGACTAGTCGACTATCAAAATAATCGTTTGTGGCAGCCCTACTACACTATAAACACTACACTATAAACACTACACTATAAACACTACACTATAAACACTACACTATAAACACTACACTATAAACACTACACTATAAACACTACACTAAAAACACTACACTAAAAACACTACACTATAAACACTACACTATAAACACTACACTAAAAACACTACACTATAAACACTACACTATAAACACTACACTACTGTTAACGTATTCCTTGTAAGAAGCACGTTGTTACTGTGATGCAGTTATGTTGGATTCTCTTTAATTACTTTGATTCCAGATTTCAGTTCTTTAAAAAAAAGTCTGAACCTGTAGTGAGATTTATCACCAGGTTGTTTTCATGACCTGCACACACTGGGCTATTTAAGATTGCCAGGACGTTGACATCTCTGAGCACATTCTTCTTCTTCAGCATGCTCATCCTTCCTGGAAAACATAATCTGTTGGCAGTTTGCACATGTCATACCAGGATCAGGCATCAAAATGTGCTGTTTATTTTCAGCCTGTTAGGTAGGACTAGCCTTCCCTCTATTATTGAACAGGACTGCTCAGTACTGAAAAGGTCGTCCTTCTGTGAAAACATAGTCTTTGTGGAAGGGAGTTATTTTCAGTTTTCTTAGTTATTCTCTGCCTTTATCTTTGCCTCACACCACATTTTATACAAGCATAAAGAAAAAAGAAAAAGAGAAGGAAACCACATCAGAGTCTGAATTGTCTACATGACTATTTAACATGAAACTACATGAAATTCTACCTTTAGATAGAAATGTAAAGGGTATAACATCTAATACAGAAGTGAATGGACCCTAGAAAGCTTTATGGGCAGGTGCTTTGCATCGTGGCCTCTAAAAACTCTGATACACTGTGTATAACAGCGGTCCCCAACCCCCGGGCCATGGACCGGTACCGGTCCGTGAGTCGTTTGGTGCCAGGCCGTGAGAGTTGAGGCTTGGTGTGAAACTTATGGTTTTCAGGGTTTCTAGCGGTTTTTATCGTTAACTCTGTTTCCCTGGGTCTTTTCACGTGTGTTATGAATAAATCTTCTTTTTTTGGTACCGGTACTAGTTTTATTTTGCTGTATTTATACGCAACACCTTAAAGGCCGGTCCGTGAAAATATCTGGTCATTAAGTGATGACCTGATGAATCCTGCCTCCCGGCCCTCTGTGTTTATTAAGGCTGCTGTGTTTTTAACATGTTTTAATACTTTGTATCTTGTTCCATTTAATTTGAACAAGCCCCTAAAATCAGTCAGTGTTCACTGTCGGCCTCTCTGTTTTTATTGCCACTGATCATTTCATTAAAGATGAAAGAATTTACAGTTTTTAACTCTCAGTGATGCCGCAGTGTTTGTTTGACTTTGGTAGCTGCATCGTAGTCTGGGCCCAGGCACAGCTGATGACGTCAGACTGGATTGTCGAACATAAACCAGTCCGTGGTGCAAAAAAAATGTTGGGGACTGCTGGTGTATAACATGTCTTTACTTTCATGCTGCTGAAATTCGAAGCAAACTGATGTTCATTGTCTTTGCAAGTTGATATTCATTGTACGGAAATTTTTAAACCCTACACGATATTGCCAAAAGTATTGACACACCAATCGTGGCTCAAGAGTTGGCAGTTTGTCTTTTAATTGGAAGGCTGCCGGTTCGAGTCTCGGCTCCAACAGTCTCAGTCGTTGTGTCCTTGGGCAAGACACTTCACCCGTTGCCTACTGGTGGTGGTCAGAGGGCCCGGTGGCGCCAGTGTCCGGCAGCCTTGCCTCTGTCAGTGCGCCCCAGGGTGGCTGTGCTACAATGTAGCTGCCATCACCAGTGTGTGAGTGTGTGTGTGAATGGGTGGATGACTGTAGTGTAAAGCGCTTTTAGTCTTTAGGGACTAGTAAAGCGCTATTTACCATTTACCCCTCCAAATCATCAAAGTGACTTTCGTGGTCAAAGGTGTGAAGATTAAGCTCACAGGCATGCAGACTATTTGAGAATGGGTTGGTCTAAGGAGCTCAGTGAATTCCATCATGGTACCATATCGTGCCACCAGTGCACCCAGTACAGTTGTGAAATTTCCTTGCTGCTAAATAGTTCTCAGTCAACTGTTAGGGCTATTGGAACAAAGTGAAAAGGATTAGAAATCGCAGAAACTCAGTCACAAAGTAGAGGCTACATAAAATCAAAGAGTAGGGTCAGCGGGTGCAGAAATGACCAGTGTTCTGCAGAATCAGTCACTACAGACCTCCGACCTTCAGATTAGCTGAGGAACAGTGTCTAAAACCTTCATGGAATTGGTTTCCATAGCCGAGTATCTGCATCCAAGCCTTATATCACCGAGTGCAATGTAAAGCATCAGTTGAGTGCTGAATCACACTTTTCCTGGCAGTCCGATGGAGGAGAGCGATATTTGCCTGACTGCATTTACCAGTCGTAAAGTTTGTAAGATGGGGTATATAAGTATATAAGTTGGGATTTTTTTCTTTTTCTTTTTTTTTTTTGAGGAGTTCAGCTCCTTTTTCCATTGAAAGCAACTCTTAATGCTTCACCACACCAAAACATTTTGGACAGTTTCATGCTCCCAGCTTTGTGGGATCAGTTTGAGAATTCCAGTTCCACTATAACTGCACAGCAGTGCACAAAGTATGGTCCATAGAGACATTAGTGAGCGAGCTTGTTATGGAAGAGATTAACTGAAGAGTCCTGATCTCAACCTGATAGAACTCTTTTGAGATGAAAAAGAGCAGAGACTGCGAGCCGGGCCAAGTCCAACATCAGTGTCTGTCCTCACAAATGCACATCTCAAAGAATGGCCAAAAAATTCCCATAAACACGTTCCTAAACCTCGTGGAAAACCTTCCCAGGAGAACAGAAGCTGGTATAGCTGCAAAGGGAGGGCTGGCATCATATTTAACCCTATGGATTCAGAATAGGAAGTCACTCAAGTTTATATGCCTGTGAGTGCAAGCAAGCAGATACTTTTGGCAACATAGTGTATGTGCATTAAATCTGTGATTAGGTCAATCCTATGGGAGAACTGCAGTACCTCACCTGGGACAAATATCATTTGGTCCTTGGTCATACCTAGAAACCACTGACTCAATGAAGACTTGTTGTTTTTTAATTACATCTAAAAATCCAAAAGCACCTCCTTGGAGAAATATCATAAATATTGCTCTTTGGTTGTATACATGACCTGACATTTCTTTGCAGGTTATTATAGATTTGAGGTGAGAGTTAGGATTGATCAGAAAGGCTTTAGAATAAGGTCAGAGGTGGAGTGACAGAACACTAAACTGTCACAGGTGTGTTTATCCTACTTTTTGTCTTCCAGTTTTGTTTACAAAGCAGTTATTAAACAGTATTTCGTCCTCCAGCAACAGTTATAGCTGTGTTATTACATCACTGTATCTTCTTTCTCCACGGCGCTCCGCTAGACGAAGGAGAATGAGCCTCTAATCTTCATGATTCACACTATGATTGAGAACTCTGCACCAAGGCCACAACTCTACCAGCAAGTAAGGTCTTAGGCAGGTTCTGGCTTGAGTCACTGTGCAGGCATCTCCGTTAGGGACGTGTCACACAGTCAACCTTCAGTTTATCTTTACATGCTGGAGCACCAAAGTTGCACGATTTCGTTCAGCAAGTCATTTATTTATTCATTTTTAAAGTGAAAAATCCCCTCTCAACATGAAATATCAAACATTTAGAGGAATATGCATTTATGAAACTATTGCTGCTGATAAATCTTGGTCGTTTGGTTTTCTTATCCAAAGTTTACGTCCAAGTTATTTCTTGCAGAACTCTATATTTTTGAATGAGGGGGAGCAGACTCAAGCCAGATGTTTCCAGTAGTTGTCTATCCACATCATCCCCTCCACTGTTAACCTAGTTATCATGTTTTGGATGCAGTCAGTTCATCTGTCAGTTGTTCCACAGTGATCCTTCCTATGTTTCACCTATTGCAATGTTTGAAGTGTATGTGACGTTCTTTTTGTTTCCTGCACATCTCATTTCACTGCTTTCCTTTCTTTATGCACCTGGAACTGAGCATGATTTGTGGCTGCAATGAGTGTCAGAGCGATGGCGTCTCCCGTCACACAGCAGTGTTTATTGTTGAGGTTTACTTGGGGAATGCTTGACTGGTTTAATGTGTTTGTATTACAGGTTTGTTTTTTTGAAAACTAAAAACTGACATGACATTTCAGGAAACCGTGTCAGATTTCTTTACAAGAATACCAAAGAATCTGTACATGGGTAGAAGCAGAAGGACACAGTTGGTCAATCTCAGGACAGTCGATGTTTTAGGTTGAGTTATAAGCTGGAACTGCTCTATATTGTCAAAAGACTTCACTAACCCATCCAAACCGCTGAATTCATGTATAATCGTTTTACACAGGCTCATAAGGTCAACCACCAGGCATGCAGAGTGGTTGCTTTCAGGAGCTCAGTGAAGTCCACTTTAGTACTGTGATAGGATGGGGCCTGGATGATTGAGCGTGCATCGAGACATAGTGCACAGAGGCTGCCAGCTTTCTGCTAAGTCAACCTCCACAGACCTCCAAACTTCAGCTTAGCTAGAGAGCAGAGCGCAGAGAACTTCCTGTGGGTTCCTGTGACCAAGCAGCTGCATTCAAGCACACTGCCGCTGTACTCTAGAGCAGTGGAGATGTGCTCTCTGGAGTGATGAATCATGCTTCTCCATTTGGCAAGCCAATGAACGAGTCTGGGTTTGGTTGTTGTCAGAAGAACTGTACTTGTCTGACTGCATTGTGCCAAGTTTGGTGGAGGGGGGATTATGGCGTGGGGTTATCTCTGTGGACTTGGTTCCACTCTTTAGTCACTCATTAGTAAAAGTAGAATCTCTCGTGATCTGGGAATCACGCTTTTACTCTGCACACAGTTAATGGTACCTTCAAATTTTCCTTGTCACGAGACCACAACATGCTTGATTTGGCACATGCCCTTTTTGATGCACCCCCAAAGGAACTAGTAGCCATTTGCTTGCTACGTGAATTTATAAACCACTGCACTGTGGATCTGCAGTGACAGCAGCAGAGATCATTAGAGCAGGGATGTTTTCAACACACTTGAGCTTTCCCTGAGACCACAGATTGGTAATTTTACATTTCTGTTTATGCACAAACTAAACAAACAGGTAGAAAATGTTAGTCAGTGAGCTTTACAGGTGATGTTAGGTTTTTGTTGTTTTTTAAACTTCTAAGAGACTTCTTAACTTTAAGAGAATTTTTGATTTTCAGTGTGAAGCAGGAGACAGACTCGTGGGCTGTTTCCTGTTGTTACCTAACACACGTCTAAGACATTTATTTGTTAGGCATTTTTTTCTGATCCATTACATAAAGTATCCAGTTAAAATGTGAAGCTGGATCAAATGATCATCAGCCTTTCAGTTACTGTCACAGTGTGGCTCACACTCCTTCCTTGAAGTCCGCAGCAGTGGAGGACACATTTAGGTAAATGGTACATGGACTGGTTCTACTGGAGCACTAAAATCTACACTACATGGTGATTATGGTGAATCTTAAATCACACAGTAAGTTAGTGAATGAACGCTATGTTGTGTTGAATAAGATTTGATAGTAAATCTCATGGGGATGTGTTTAGTGAGGACATGTTACAAGCAGTCCATAGACGTCTGCCACAGGAGTCTTTCTCTGAAGGACAGAAAACAAGTCTGTGGCTCTGGTGCGTGTGCTTTAACGCCCAGAGGGTACATCCATCTTTTGTATGCTTTGTAGTAGGGCTGCCACGATTAGTCGACTAGTAATAATAATAATAATAATAATGGATTTATATAGCGCTTTTCAAGGCACCCAAAGCGCTTTACAATACCACTATTCATTCACTCTCACATTCACACACTGGTGGAGGCAGCTACAGTTGTAGCCACAGCTGCCCTGGGGCAGACTGACAGAG